TGGATTCTTCTATTTTTCATTTTTATATTTTTAGTTTTTTTTATAGAATATTTGCGAAAATACAATTTTCAGGAAGGGGGAAGCGGCCAATTAATGGGGGCTGCCATTCAACACACATTGTGAGGTAGGTCAGGTGGTGGTAATGATGGGATTCGAACACACGTCCGCCGGGGAGATAATTTGGTGATGTTACCACCGAGTCACCAGCCTGAACCTGTTCCTTGCAGTATTAGATATGTTTACATCGGATGAAACTCACGTTTAGCCTGGGGATTGTGAGTGAGTAAGTTGCAATATTGTCTGATGACATTTTTCTCACACTATCATCTGTAGACTGAATGCAAACTGATATTGTCCAAGGATGTATAATCCGCTCAGAATATGCACCACCAAACGTACCATATGCTTGGTTCGTATACGCTGTTTGCAAAACTATTTGACGTTGTTCAAAATCGGTAACATTTGTGCAAATGCCTTGGAAAACGGTTTGTGAATGTACACTTGGACATTTCCCCCTGAATCCCTAACCACCGGCTCCGGTTCATTTATTGCCCTGTAACTATCAAATCCACAACTACTTTTATTGCATCCGGTCAAGAATCTGCGTCTGGACATGATCCCATCATCTAATTAGTCCTGGTTTTAAGTCACCTGCCACTTGACACGATGGCGTGCGGTTGCTATTTTAGGCCGTCTCCCGTACACAGAAAAAAGACTATTTCTCGGTTTCTTCTGCCAAATCAGATGAGCATTCAAAGAGCTCGCGTCCGTCGTCAGCAAACCATGAAAAGAATTATGTGCAACCGTAAAATTATGTTGTTTCTTTCAGATCAGTGAATGATCAAAAACATGGTACACTGTTTTCCGTACTCGGAAGTATCAGATAGGGTTGCAAGGGTTGAAAGCCACAAACATCCAGTGTATTGAAGAACGAACACTTTGATGGCAAAATGCACACACGAGCACACGCAAACACACACACATCTGATTTCAGATTGATTGTCGAGCTCAGCACCTGATTTCCACGTTAGATCACACTCCACTGCAGCCGGGATCGGATGAAATGACAAGTAGTCGCTTACGTATGAACGGTTACAGATACTCGAATATTATGCTTATTTTGTACTACA